ATCCCGTGTTTGATCCTTTCGTGAAATGGATGTATTTGTATCTGTTTTCAAATACAATTTCAAAAGTATATTTTACAAGACTGAGAAAAAGTCACCCAAATTAAATTAAGAAATCAAAAATTAATCTATCATAAGTATTCAAAATAATGTTTACGAATAAACTCTAGTTTATAGGTCGTATATATACYTAACTACACTACAATTAAATTGATTAAAAATTATACAATATATTATATAGAAACTTTTTAAAGTATTCTAAATAGCACTACGATCCCGCTGAAAATAAAAACACAATGAAAATATATATTTTTATTCTTCCTGTGTTATGACTTTATAAATAGTAAAAGTTAAAATAATTAGTATTTAAATAATGAAATTATCTTGCTACTTAGCTTACGAGTAATATAACCATGATCAGTTATAGAAAATAAAATATATTATGAAGGTAGGTATCCGGGAGTCTTTTTTCTTGACTTGGTTTTAAACTAGAAATAGACCTCACAATAAAATATATTTGTATTTATAAAATATTCCATTAAAAATATATATAATGTATAATTTATATAATATATATATTTAGATGATTATTTTCATAATTACTATGATTCAAATTATGAGCTTAAATAATTTATGTTCAAAAGCACAGCTTTCCGGAAATATAACAAACAAAAATATGAACAAACAATAAAAGTTAAAATTAAAAAAAAAAAAATGGTTATTTTTTATTTTGTACGCTTAGAAAATTGAATTCCATACCACAATAATATTATATTATAATGTATGGAAAACAGTTGTGTTGTTTGTGTTACTTACACAAATCCTGYTATAGCATTGTACTATAGAAATTAATGTACTTTTCATTTTAGAAATTCTTTTGATTTACTCATATCAAAATTAAAAATATTTATATTTCACATTTACATAAGCCTGTATAATTGTAACAGGTACCGTGTKCGTATTTGTTTATTTAACAAAATATAATCAACTATGGAATCGCATTGCAACGTATAAATTGTTTTAAAATAGAACTGTAATAATAATACTTATAATAAAATACAAACAAACAATTATAAATTATTTCTATTCTCTATATAACAATTGAATTGTTTACATAAATAATTATAATATTAAATATAATGCGAATGATCCCTTCTGCCAAAGCAAAAGATTTTATTTACAATCTATACCTACAATACAATTAATATAATTGGTAAATTCGATACAAGGTGAATAACAGGTATAGAAGGTAACGTTTATGGGCAGGCACTTAGCTGCCACCTGACCAAGTACTTTTTAGCGTACTACCTATTGTTTTAAAAAACATTTGAGTAGGTCTCTATGCCAGTGTATTTTGAGTTTTCTGCGTACATTACCGGAGAATTAAGTTGGAAAATAGTTTTTTGATTGATGGGTTATTGTGAGAGTTTGATTTGGAATAAAATTTAAAGTAATATAAATATACTAGTTGATTACGTGTAGGAATTTTTGAATTTTTGTG